CCTGCTGATATCAAAAGAAAGTCAGAGCATTAAGCCTAGATCTAAAAAGATAAAATGAATACTAATCCAATAAACTTTATCATGTCTACTATACAAGCTGTAGAACTGTAGCATAGAATAGACATTAAACATTTAACTAAGAAAAAAATAATGATTTTCCAGAAATCTACCAACAACATTATATATATATTGTTCTTCACAAATATTTCCCTTATAAAATAAGACTGGATTTTAAAATCTCGTTCTTTTTTGTATAAACATTTGTAAACAAAACTGTCCTGAATACAAAAGGCTGCAATTAATGAGGTATAAATTACTAGGAATAATTACTTGTTAAGTGGTTAGCCACTTGGCAGTATTCCTATTTGCAGAAAGACAAAATATATATACACAGCACATCTAACCCCGGAGAATAAAAGTGTACGGAATAATTTTGACAGTCTCAGGAGCAATGAAAATATTCATTCACGATACCCAATCAAAATCACTAGAAAACTGAATTGGTCAATATATACACTAACCTGTATTTTGATTGGCCATGAAAAATTGCTGACGTATACATAGAATGTGATGTTTGGGTTGCTTCGAAAGTTGAATTTTTCACAAGAAAAACTATCTCGGTATTCTTTGATGTTAGCCTTAGAAACAACAGGAATTTCTTCTCCAGATATTGTTCCAGCTAAAAATGTAAATGAATATTACATTATCATAAAAAGAACCAAAGTAGTTTACTACAGGCAACTTTAATACTGGCGTTTCCTTACTTTTGAGCCAGTGACTCAGCAACCTTTTCTATATATTATACACATTAAACAAGTAATATTTCACCTACACAGAAAATTCACACAAACTCCTACCGCAATTTCTGAAAATTATGAATGAATCATAAAATAAAGGGGAGATATACTTGGATAGGAATTTTATAGCAAATGTATCCTGGTTAACTACACAGCTAATATAGTTTCCTCTAGTAATTTACATCCCATTTCAATAAAAATTCATAAGTTACTAAAGTGTGGAAAGTGAATTTGTCTACATTTTAAAATATTGGTATCGTGTCTCAAATGTTCTTAGAAATGTGAATAATACACCAGATAAACATATATCATTTCTTGTAAACCATCAGGCTTCTCACCAATTCTGTTTGATCATAGCACTGCTGACTTGGTGAAGTAAATAGAAGATAATGGAAAATACAGAATTTGCTAGCAAAGGTATTTTAAAATAAAGCTTTGAATACCGCACAAAAATACAGATAGATGCAACAAAATACAGAAGTTCTTGGGCTTCTTTAAACGCCTGGTTTTATTCATTAAAATGTACAGTTTAACTTGTAAGCATTTTGCTTCTCCTTGGATATATTTTCAGAAAGTCAACAGAACCAGTTCATAAAAACTTTCTAAATAAACCTTTTCTTCTTCCTTATTAAAGCAAAAAGAGTAATGGGGTTTAAAGTTTGGGGAAAAAGAGATAAGCAGCTCCTTTTATCAGCATACACAGAAGAATTTTATTATTTGATATCAATGTTAAGGTTAATAATTAAATTTTTAGCTTGAACACTGAAACAAAGAAATTAAAATCTCAGTCCCCCCAGTAGTTAAGGAAGTAATTTATCTTAATTAAAATCACAGCATTTCATAACACTGCCATTTTTTAAATTTAAATAGAGTACAAGCATTTCCTACCAAGTAATTTTAATTGAATAGGAGAGAAAGTTAACATGTTAATGACGCTTTGTTCAGATTGCAAATTATTATCTGAGCTTTAAGTAATATAATTAATAATGGTATAATGCTAATAGAAAAAGAATACATTTTATAAAGTTTTATTATTCAAATTAGTAACAAAGACAATCGTGTTAAAAAAAAACCTTAAAGGATCTTGAGATCATATGGGGAAAAATATATCATAACAAAATGCTTCCTTACCTGTAGAGCCAACAGACCATGTGATATTGAGGTTAAAGTTGTTTGATGCATTAATTGATATATCCAAATTTTTGTTCGACTAGACAGAGAGAAAACATATATTACAACTAATGTAAGTTATAACGAGCCGACTGTACCTTTGATGGACATGCAGCTTTTTAATTTTCCTTCCTTGATTGTTGACTGTAAATATTAGGGTGAAATTCAGAAATCAATGGCAAACCTCTCTGTGACTTGAATGGGGGTAGGACACAACTATTAACACTGTAACTACCAAACACTCACAGATCCCTCAGTTGCACAACAAACCTTTATTTAATTTAATTTCAAATAGACAGCCACCCCAACTATGTCTAACCAGTTCTTTTAAATCACTCTCAGCCAACTAAGGCCACAGGTTCAGAGTCTTGCTGGTTTTCAAAGCGGGTGCTTCTACAACACCTTAAACAGCTCAAAACATCAAACATCTTTTAAAAAGCAGCCTTCCTTGTAAAATCTTTGTGCCATAACATCATAATTATCTTCTGCTGAAAATGTCTCAAGGAGGTCACAAGAACACACACCACAAAATATCATTCCATTTTATACAAATGTCTTGCAACAGGGAATGTCTCAGCAAGTCACTAAAAATTATAGTTCATTAGGGAGGAAAATAACATAAACCTATTTTAGTTTGCCTGGATTGTGCCTGAAAAATGACAGCAGAAATATAACACTTGATAGGAGTGGTTAAGAAAAGTGCAATATCAGCCATCTGTAGAATGAATTTGGAGCTATCTGTTTATCTTTGCACAAAGCTAAAGAAAGAGGAGAAGTGGCTTTCTATTGGAGTCAATAGAAGTTTTCCATGATTTCAACAGATCTGATTAGCTCTAATGCTTGATCGGTACTTTGACAGAACTAAACTCATAATCAAATACAATGAGCAAAAACATCTCTTTTGTTCTGGGAATTTATACTGGGGTTGTTTAATTATATCCTCTCACCTGTTCAGGATTTGCTATGAAGTTTATGGCAGTGTGGTGGCGATCGTCCTCTTGTAATAAGCTGAAGGTAAACTGGTAGTCAATCAAAAGGCTGTCTGTAAGCAAAACAGAATTTAAACAAAATACAAGTAGAGTCCAGATGCAGATATATTTAAAATAAACACCATCCCTCCTCCCCCACAACACCTTAAACAGATCACAACGTCAAACACCCTAAGAAAGGGAGCCTTTGCTGTAAAATCTGTGCGCCATAATTATCTTCTGTTGAAAATTTCTCAATTACCGCACAAAAACACTCACCACAAAATATCATTCAGCTGTACACAAATCTCTTGCAACAGGAAATGTGTGACCCTAGTTTCACTTGTATACACGTATATGTGTATGTATGTATTTATTTGGGATTTTGATGTTTATGTACCCATCACTAGTGTGTTGGAGTAGTTAACAGGTATGAAACCAAGCATAACCTAAATTAAGAAATAAAAATCAGCATAAAAATGTAAGCAGCTATTTGTATCGAATTGTATTGATACCAATATAAAAACATCCTCATCATCATGTCTCTTGAGTTAATCAGTTATTTCAAAGTGTCTTATAAGGACTATTTTTTGTACTAAAATTATTTCAGTATTCTGTTAACAAGCATTAAAAAGTTTTAGTTGTATTGTGATACTTTAATAGCTTGTATTTTACTATGATGTACAGCTGAGTAACATAGCAGTTAACGGTATTTATCTATACAATACTGAAAAATAAAAAAACAAAACAGTATCTACAGTATCAGAATACAGTGCACAACTATGATACCACGATGATACGACTCATAATAAAGCATCACACTGGAATTAACTGTTTTTATTTTCATACTAGTGTATCTGTTGCAGAAAATCATGGGTTACAGTTCTACAGTAAAAGCTTGGTCCCACTGAAACAAATGTGAAAATGACTACAGACTTCACTGAAGTCATGATTTTCTCGCTCATATTTATTTGGTCAACAGTATTCTTGACTTCTAAAATAAAGGAAGGGAGTGGAAGCTGCCTAGCAGTTTCATTTTATACTACTTTCAGACATCAATAACTACCATTCACCAATGTAAAGTCCTCTACTACTCCCTCTCTAATTTTCTGCTAGCCATTGCCACCTCATAGTTATATACAACATATTCTTATAAACTCAAAACTATCAATTATTAAGCAGCTTGAAGGTGGAGTTAGAGTAAGCAAAACTTTAATCGGACTCAGCAAAGGCAGTTTTGTTCTGGTCAATGGCCTATTTCTGCTCCTAGGGCATGCCTACATGAGATGCTTAACTTCACATTAGCATAGTTTACTGCGAAGTAAGCATGTGCATCTACACGTGCATATGCTTACCACGCAGTAAACTTCCTTAATCCCAAGTAAACTTGCTACCTGCAAATGCAAGTAGCAAATTTACTAGAGATTAGTAACAGTTCAGTAGCGCTCATGTAGACACGTGACTGGGAGCAAAATCTGATCCTGGTCAGGCATCCACCAGTGGATGGGAGATGGCTCCTGCCCCCGGGAGTTGCCTGCTGCTGGGGCAGGCTCTGCTACAGGAGCCTGGGCAGGGATTATGTGCCCCTGTCTCAGCAGCAGGGAGCGCCAAGCCTCATGCTCAGAGACTGTGATCAGGGAGCAGTGGCTGGCAGATAGTTATCTCCTTATCTCCCAGCACTGGCTCCATGACTGCAGGGCCAGTACTGGGAGACCCTCATCTCCCAGTGTCTGCTCCACAACCATGGGGTGCATTGAGCTGGTACTGGGAGATAAGGGTCACTCAGCACTGGCCCCACATTTGCAGAGCCGACACTAGGAAATAAGTGTCTCCCAACACCAGCCTCGCAGTCACGGAGGTGGCACTGGGAGCTCCTTGCTGGCAGGGGCAGGGGAGCCTATTCCCCACCCAGCTCCGGGACTGTGAGAACAGGGTGGGGAGCTTGTTCCCTGCTCAACTCTGCACTCACAGAGCTGGGCAAGGAACAAGCCCCTCAGCCTGTTCCCGCCCCCCAGCTCTGCACTCATGGAACTGGGTGGGGAACAAGCTCTCCAACCTGTTCCACCCTCCCGCCCCCAGCTCTGGGCTTACAAAGCTGAGCAAGGAACAAGCTTCCCAGCCTCCACCCAGTGTGCAGGGCAGGGGCTGGGAACTGTCCTGGTCAGGGGAAGGTCCTAGCCCCATGCCCTGGTCAGGTGATCGAGTCATGAGGTTTGGAAAGAACTGCAGGTGTGGAACAGGTCCCAGACCTCTGCCCCCACCCACCAGTGGGGCAGCTAGCAGCCCCTTCCCTTGCAGCTCTTTCCAAGTTCCCTAACCCTGATTGGGGTGCCAGGCCAGGAGCTCCCTGCTACCAGGACGGGGGGGACATTATCCTCACCCCAGCAGCAGGCAGCCCCATGGAGCCAGGAGACTCCTGTCTTCTAGGCCCACTACTCCCTGCCAGCCCCTGGGCTAGCACCCAGGGGATGCCTAGAGCTCCTCCCGGTGGCATCAGGGGCCCATTGCAGGCCTGCAGGAAACCTGATGCAAAGAGCAGCAAACCTCCCCCACTGTCCCTGCATGTGTAGACTCCTTCCTGAAAGCACTTACTCAAGAGTACCTTACACCAGAGTATACTTAGTCCGGATCAAATGCATGTGTAAAGGCACCCCCTGTGTGGTACTACAGGCAGTCTCGTCCTTATATGAAACTTCACACTTTACAGTCCAATATGGCAGGTTTCAGACTGGAGAAGAAAACAATGGCAGGTGCTGGTACAGTCAAATCAGTGCAGAGGCCTCTCACAGCCACCTCTTAAGAATGAAAAAGAGGAGCTTGAGTAAAGTGCAGATCTAGGGGAATGAGAAGGCTGTGTAGAAGGGAACTGGTTGGCTCTAATTAAACTAAAGCAAAGGAACATTTTCAACCAGGACCCCATAGTGATCCATATAAACAAAAACAGTTCACCATCTTTTAGCTCAAAAGTTATGATTAAGCATGTTAGATGTTCTGAGGACCACTGTGCTCCATAGGCCATAAGGGACAGGCTAATATAAATTTAAACATGCATCCTCACACACAACAATTTCACTTTTAATAATCAACACTTCCTCCAGATGATGGGAACAGCTATGGGCACTAAAATGGCCCCACAGTATGCCAACCTTTTTATGAGTCACCTGGAAGAAGACTTCCTCAAGAACTGCACCATCAAACCCTTACTATGTCTAAGGTACATCGATGATCTCTTCATCATTTGGAGTGAGAACCTGTAATCTCTGATTGAGTTCCACCAGAAATTCAACAGTCACCATCCCTCCATCCGACTTTCTTTAGAATACTCCAACACCAACATCCCCTTTTTAGACACAAGGATCAGTATCCAGAAGGGTAAAATACAGACCACAGTATACAAGAAATCCACAGACCAACATACATATCTGCACAGAACCAGCAATCACCCGAAACACACCAAAAAAGCAGTGATATACAGCCAAGCCCTCAGATACCACCGCATTTGTACTGAAGAGAACACCTGGAATTTCCACCTCACCAATCTTAAAAAGGCTTTCACCCAGCAAGGACACTCCTCCAGAGAGGTAGATCGCACGTTTGAAAGAGCCACCTGGATACCACGTGAAGAACTGCTGCAGTACAGAAGAAAACCACCCACAAATCGCACACCGCTGGTTATGACGTATCACCCCTCCCTTGAACCTGTACGGAAAATCCTCAAAAAATTGCAACCCATATTAGGAAAAGACCCTATTCTTAAAAAGATCTTCCCAGAGCCACCCATCCTAGCCTTCAGACAAGCACCAAACCTCGCTAACCTCATCACCAGAAGCAAACTTCCTCAAGCCCAGAACACACCGAAAGGATCCAGACCGTGCCAGGACAAGAAATGCAAAACCTGCCGACACATCTCCACCACCCCCACTATTACTACACCCCACAACAGAGCCAGCAGCATCCCTGCATCTTACAGCTGCACCTCCAGAAATGTAATATACCTCATCCAATGCACCAAATGCCCTGATAGAAGATATGTAGGAGAGACCAGACAACAACCACGCACCAGAACGAACGCACACCGGAAATCTATCAAAGACAGAAACACCCAATTACCGGTGGGGGCACATTTCTCACAGGAGGGCCACTCTCTCTCCAATCTCTCAGTCCTGATCCTCAAGGGAAACTTACACAACACTTTCCAGAGACAAGCCTATGAGCTCCACTTCACCAACCTGCTGGATACTAGAGATCAGGGACTAAACATAGACATCGGATTTTTGATACATTACAATCTGCCTGGCAACTGACTCCCCAGCCCAGCCCAGCCCAGCCCAGCCCCTGGCTTCTTTACTTTTCACTCCATCCAGGAAGAGCACACACCAACTGCTGATACTTCCTTAGCCTGATGAAGGGTTTTTGAACCCAAAAGCTTGCTTAATAACTATTCTCCAACCATCTGGGTTGGTCTAACAAAAGATATCAAATTCATCCAAGGAACCTTGTCTGAACATGCCTCCAAGGCGTTCCATGATACACCAAAGATGGCTGAGAAGCTTGGAATCTGTAGAACACAAATATATAGCTTAAAAACACCATAACCCCTATTAAGCATAGGCTGAGAACTCTTACAGGTGCAGAAACTTAGCGAAAATAAAACTTGTCTGCTCAAAATTGCATAACAGGACAATAGCATAAGTTGGAAACAGATCCTGGAGTCCTGTTTCCAAACCACATGCCTGTGAGATCAATTTTTGCCATCTTATGTGCACATAGCTTAAAAAGGTTTAAGAGATAAATTCAAGCTGTAAAAAATGAAGTTATTTGTCATCCCCCAAAATACTTTCCTGGGAATGCATATTTTCTGTATTACTTTGGATTGTTTAGTTTTCATTATTGTACCATAAAGCTGTCTTTTTGTCCTTTAGCTGTATGTCAGATCACTTATGTTAGTAACGTCTCAAATTTGCGAAGTTAAATGCCAAAACGAAAGGAGCTTGCTTTCAGGAAAGAAATGTTTATTCCAATGTAAATGACGGTGAACTAAATATAACTTTACTATCTGGAACAATTTAGAATC